GGAGGGGAACAAGACGAGGACGAGGACGATGAGGAGGAGCAGGAGGATGACGATGGCGATGATGATGATGATGATGAGGATGAGGATGAGGATGAGGATGAGGATGAGGAGGAGGAGGAGGAGGATGAGGATGAGGATGAGGATGAGGATGAGGATGAGGATGAGGATGAGGATGAGGATGAGGATGAGGATGAGGATGAGGCAGAGGAGGAGGGGGAGGAGGAGGAGGAGAGGAGAGGAGAAAGCGGAGGAGGAGGAGGAGGAGGCTTTACTGTGCGGCAGGTCAGTCTTTAAAGCAAGGTGGGTAGCGCTACAGCAGCCTCGCGTCGCAAGTGGGAAGTGTCCAGGAAGCAATGGGAGGCGCGAGTGACTCTCTCACCCTCGTTCGTTCCTCGGCAGCAAGTTAACCCAAAGTGCGATTCCGACCATGCAGGCAGCATATTGGCCGCCACTTTCAGGTGGGATCCTTTTGTCGCTACCTCCACATGCAGAGCCCCATGGCGTCTGGCGCCAGAGACCCTCCCCGACCAAAGTGCACGGAGATGACGACACTGGGTGATTGGCCAGCTCTCAAAGATCAGAGCGCCCAGGAAGGGGCTGCCCAGTGGCTGCCAAGGCAGCAAGGCCTTTGAGCCTCAACGGAGACAGAAATCCAGATTCGCTTCTTACTTGAGAGGGTGCGAATGGCCAACCGAGAAACAGAGGGATCAGCAATGGAGCACTTGTAGCCTCTGATCCGTGAGAGTGATCTACGAGAGCGTGCATGCAAGTCACTGAAAGACACTGAAGCTACATACGCCTTAGCTGCAGAGCTGAGGAACAATGGCTAGGTGCTGAAGACTGGGGCAGCAGCCAGCTGGCGGCCGTGATGAGAGCAGCAGGTAGATAAATGGCAGCCTGAACAGTCGAGGCACGCTGAACAAGACAACAGACAGGTTCAGAGAGGTAGATTCTGTGCAGCAGAATGGCAGGTAGAGACCATAGGCACAGGCAAACACCGCAAATGGCGTATCCTGCATCGCCATGGCTGGGCGCTGCTTTGCAAGAACTTCACTGCTTGTGCTGCTAGTAGTTGCTAATAAGGAGAATCACACCCCAACAGCAACTTGCCAAGTCTGCCTCAGGCTTTCCTGTTCCCATGGGCACCCGCTGGCAGCAGAGAGAGCTTCGAAGCCAAGAAACGACGCGTCACAGACTCAACGAGCAGTCGCGGTGTGTTGCTGCTGTCCAACTTCAGCAAGCCAATGCACCCTCGCAGCCTGGATCTTCATGTCTCGAAGCAGCTCCACAGCCCTTGCGTCACATTCAGAAATTGCTGACTCTTCCCGACTGCAAACCGCCCCTGATGCTGGTATGTAGCAGCTCTGAGCCAAGGCCTTCGAACGGACTTCAGAGATGCCAGGTCCAGCGGCCTCAGAAGGAGGCAGGCGGAAGCAAGTGCCTCCGCCTGCGACCGACAAAGCGCAGGTGCAGGAGTGCTACTTTTGACACGGCGGCTCTTCATTCGTGGCGAACCGAATCGCAAAGAGTTTACTGTCTCGAAGACAGAGTTCGGGCAGCGGGCTCCCGAGCATGGATCAGCGGCCGGGTTTCCGGTCTGCTCTGCTGCGAGATCACGTCCATCGTTGGGGCTTGAGCTGACTCGATGGCAGCAGAGGCGATCTGATCGAGGCCGTGCCTGTGGCCATTAGCTGCCGCCTGAACGGCTCCGGGATGAATTTCCAAGTTCAAAGTTCTGCACGACGGTCTTAAACAGGTGAGCAATGTGTTGCGAAGCTCCTCGTTAGGACATGCAGAACTGCAAACTTTCCGCTTATGGCGCTGATTTGTGCAGCTATCGCGGATACTATGCTCGGAAAAAGTCGCTCCGCCTTGCCTGCAGACTGGATTATGCGACATTAACCCCGACTGTTCCGTACACCTGGCCACGCTTGGAGATGCAAGGCAAAGCAAAAGTGACACATGCACGGCAGCCATGCGCAGAGGAATCTGAGCGCTCAGAAAACCTCCTCTTCCTGAGATGTTGCACGGGTGTACAGCAGCATGGTGGGTGATGCGACTCCCTCGCCCCGACAAGGATGCGAGCCTGTAGACCCTTCTCGTAGGCAGTGTTGTTGCGGCAGCTGAAGGAAGACAAGCGCTTCTTGCCTTCCAGTAACGAGCAACATGGCATATGTGGCAAAACCATCGAAAAGCGGAAAAAACAGCTTCGCAGTCGCTTCGTCGCCGAGGAGCTCGAGGCAAGGCCCTCCTTGAGGAGCTGGGCGTTCTCTCCCAGCGAGACATGCACCTTCTGCCTCTCAGGTGCAGCGACTCAGAAGCAGCTTGCGAGCTCCGTGGCTTACAGTTGCTGTCACGGGGCATGTGCTCGTCGACGTGCTGCTGCAGCGTCTCAGTCAGATTCTCCGTTTTGATGGCCATGTCCTTTTGCAAAGCCTCCCAGCCTTCCGGCCGCTTTGCTATGCCACAGGACTATGACCCCACTAGGTCGCTGAGTGCCGAGCCTTCCTGCAATGGCTTCGAGTGAAGCTCCACAAGCTCCTTGCCCTTCTCGAGACTCTCTTGCCCCATGGAAAGCAAGCCTCATAGTCGAATGCAGCCATGTGAAAAGCAGCCCTCCGAAGGCATTCGGCACCTCGTGTGAGGTCGCCGAATTTGTATCCACCGCTTGGATCTGCTCCGCGAGCCTCCGAGACGGCCGAAGACAGGGACTGGGATTCCACGGTGCTCTCGCCTGCAAGCCACGCGCGAGGACGTCGTCGGCCTGCGCCAGGCCAGCCTGCGCAAAGAAGCCACAGCACGGCTCTCCCGGGCCCGAGCCTAAGCCTGGATCTTGCCTGCAGAGTGTCGGTGCTGTGCTTTACCAGCCCTGCGATGTGCCGGTCCACCAAGACATCTGAAAGGCCGCCGGCCATGGAGGCTATGACCTTGAAGACAATGACAAGCTGGCACAAAGCTTCGGATGAAGAAAGGAAAGTGAAGGAAAAGCTCTAGCCTTCGAAGTCCACGCCCGACCATATCTTGCAAAATGCTTCGAAGCAGCTGAGTCCAAAGGCAGCTGGAAGAGGCGCACTGCGAAGTCGGCATTTGTGTTCCTTGGCGCTTTTGTGGACTGCATGTCCGCCCCGTGCCGCTAAAGCGGCGAGCTGCGAGCGGCTGGTGCTGAGTTGCAGATGCATGAAAGGAGTTGAAGTCGCACAGGTGCACTCTATGGTGTGCCTTCCACCCATTCCTTCCGCCAAGCGACTCCAGCAGGCGAAGAACTCCATCAGCCTGCCAGCTCGTGGGCAGCTTTGGCATCCCACAGCTTGCACAGTTGCACCGAACAGTGCCTCGGTAGAGCTAAGCACCGCCAACAGCTTTTCGGCCTGGCAAGACCCAGCGTAGCTTTTCTGCGATAAATGTCGAGGTCAGATGAGGACGTGAGTCTGTGGGCAATTCGTCCCTTTCCGGCTTGATTAAAAACCATTTTGCAGCAAAGATGCTGGAATTCCTTGGACCATTCCTGAGACAGAGGCATGCACATGTTCAACCACAACTCTGATTTGTGGCTTCTCATGTTCTTTCCCTGAGTTCTCACTGCAGCTCGGATGCGAACAATCTTGCCCGGCTCTCCCTTTTCCATCAGAGGCACGATTTTCTCTTCCGCCAGATCTGCACAGAGCACAGACGGCTGTTAATCCCTTCCCCCTGATATTCAACCGAATGGGGGTCTCCCCCCCTCCCCAAATAACGACTCGGAAAGTATGTTTATCATTAGCGGGTATGTCTATCTCAGACTCTACTGTCACTTTTGAGGGATGTTGCTCTTGCTCCTGGTCTTGCTCCCGCGCTGGCTATTGCCTCTGCTGCTGCTGCGTCTCTTGCTATCGCTCCTGCGCTTGCTCTTGCTCCTGCTCCTGCTGTTGCTCCTGCTCTTGCTGGCTCTTGCTGGCTCTTGCTTGCTCTTGCTCCTGCTCTTGATCTTGCCTTTGCTCTTGCGTTTGCTCCCACTCCAGCTCTTGCTCTTGCCGCCGCTCATGCTCATGCTCTGGCTCCCACTCTTGCTTTTGCTGATGCTTTTGCTCTTGCTCCTGCTCTTGCTTTTGCTCTTGCTCTTGCTCTTGCTCCGGCTCTTGCGCTTGCTCTTGCTCCTCCTGCTGCTCTTGCTCCGGACCCCCTAAGGCAAACTAGCTTTGAAAGGGCAGGGATGATTTCGTGAGGATTGGCCCCAACGTGTTTTTGGTTTAACAAATTGGGGAACGGATTCGAAGGATCCGTAGGATTCGGTACCAGCTGCCATTGGCGAGGCACCTGTTACTAGACCGCCCATCTCTGCTGCCAAATTCAAACTTCAGAAGTCCGACTCACTGACACTTCACCGTTGCTGACTCGATTCGAGCCTGGCACGCTGTTTAGCGCCTGCAGAAGCTGAATCACCCGGCCCTCGGGCTTGAAATCCTCCTGTGAGGAGGCAGAGGCTGCACCTGACCGACCTGTGCCTGCGGTGCACTGTGGTCGCACTGCGGAGTTCTGCCGTTCTCCTCGGAGAAGCCGTTCACCACCTCTGCGAGAGCCTCCGCCCGAACACCGCGGAGCAGCGCGATGAGCACGGAGGCATCCACCTCTCTGCCACATGCAGAACCCACGGCAGAATCCCCAGCTGCATAATATGGAACAGCGAGCCTGGTCGACTATTTTGGCCATGTTCTCGGGCTTGTGGATCATGCCTGGGGCTGAGTTGAAGGAGCGCAGTGATGACAACCTTCATTGCTTCACGACGAACACCAGGCAAGGAAAGGGAAAGCCAAGAAGGGAAGCATTGGTTGGGGATCATACCGCATTGGCTTGATCCTCCTGTCGGTCACTCTTGTCGGCACTGGAACTCTCAGGTGGATGCATGAGAGTGGGAGGAATGATGTGCGCATGCACATTCTATGTGCACGAGGCAGTGGCCCGGCTGAATGCAGGCGTGTCTCCCAAGAAGGGAACAAGCTTGTCCCGCAGAAGTTCCTCTGACTCCTGCAAATTTCATCAGTTTCGTCTCTCAGCTTAGCGACAGTGGCAGTGTCCCAAAATCCTGGAGAAGCGGCACCACCACGCTGCCAATCCGGCCAGGACCGACATGCGCAATGATCGTGGCCAAGGCCTGCAGATTCGGGGTCTGAGTGGCCGCGGCCGTCTCACATCTCCACCGGGCTATGTTCCCATGTTGTAGTGAGCTGAACCTCTGGACACCATGTGAAGCTGGCGCAGGATTGTTTAGAGCTTTGGTGAAACGTGGAAGATGGTTCAAACAACAAGCTCACAGACGTTCGAGACTCCCTCGGATGGTACATGAAGAGCGAGACTGGCGAAGTTATACAGGCTAGAGACACAAAGTTTAAACTCAACAGCCGATCCCCAATATGACAATATGTACGCGTGTCATGCACAGCTCCATGCTGAAGTGAGCAAAACTGCCCATTCCGATGTTCCCAGTTGCTATCGGAAATGCTTGGGCAGGCATGGGCAGGCTGCCTCGGCGGGGGCTTGAAGAACCTTGGCACAAGAACAGAAACGCCAGACTTAATCCTCTGCGAGGCGTGCTTATAGCCTTGTAGCCCCTGTAGCTGTCTTTCAAACTGAGACACTTCTGGTACTCTGCCGACTCTGTGTCCAAGGCACGACTAGGAGTCGCCCTGGCAAAGCCCCGTTCAAGACTTCCAGCATAGCGCCTGAGCGAGGAACGCAAGCATTCGATGCACTGTGATCGCGCCTGAAAGATGCACAACCGAGGACACGGAGTTCAAGCTACTCTCAACCCATCTGAAGCATGACGTAGAAGCAGGTGCGGACAGCTCTAAGCTACTGCGTTATTGCAAGCAACCTAAGCACAGCACCCGTGTCCAGAGAGCAAACGATCTTGGACAGCGCATCTGCTTGTTCGGAGCTGGACAGCAGGGGCACGACCACCTTACGACGGCCATGTGATGAATGCTGGGTAGAAGGGGATTTGAATCAAATTGCAGCCACATGTCAACTGCATCACGGAGGAATGCCATGCACTGAAAACCCGGATAAAATGCCGAACCAGCTGCATCTATGAATTGGCGATCGCTCACCTGTCAAACAGCACCAGATGCTCACGTAAATAGTCACTGTGCTTGCTTTTCTTGTGGCACTATTTTGACAGCAGTGCAGCTTCAGCTCGTTGCTGCTGGCAGCTACCGCACAATACCTGCATCCTAAGAAATGAACAGTGTTGTCGTTTGTCGTGATCTTTCTCTGGAGACAAGCAGCTCGCCACTTGAACTGGCCCACACGAAAACGATGCATGCCATCAGTTGAATTCAGTAGTTGCTCGTAGTTCGCCAACACGAAGAACTTCGTACACGAGAACAATTGAACAACATGGATCTTCGCCTTTGGTGGGCAGCATTCACTCGTCGCACAGTTTCCGCAATGCAAAGCAAGCAGTATCCTGTTGGTCGGACTCTTTTCTTGACAGATGTCGTTCTCAGCTTGTTGGCCGGCTCCACTTGCTATGTTGCATTCTGTATGCTGGGTAACTGCTCCATCTTCCGAGTGAGTTTCACATGGACTCGTCTCGGAGTCTCGGCAGACCTTGCTGTTGGGTATCTGGGATGTAGTTTCGCCAACTGGTTGCACATTCTGCCCATCTTGGTACTTTCACAAAATCCTCGTGCCGCAAAACACAGCATGCACAGGTTCGGGCGGGTGCCAAGCCAAGACGCCGTCTTCTCTTGTAAGTTTGTCGCTTGACATGGAGAAGTATCAACTTGCGGATTAGGATGTCTCGAGCCGCCTCTTTTCGCGATACATCAAGCATCAGAGTGCAACAGCACTGTGAGAATAGAAATCCAGTATGGACCAAGGTGGCGTGAACACACACACACATCCAGATACGCACTGCAATTTACTGCGTTCTAAATCTAGGTGTACAGGTCTCCAGGCTCATCTAGTGCAAGTAACATCCCGCGACTGACATTGACACACATCCAAACCTTGCACAGACTCAGCAGCTTTACAAAGACATGTGACATTGCACTGCAATCACAGAAGTGTCTTCGGTGGGTGGAGACTTCTGCGATGCACTCCATCCCGCCTGCTTCACTTAGCTTGACCAATTCACAATCAATACGTAGCCCTTTCGGTACAGGGATTGCACACACACACACACACTAGTCACTAGCCCCCTTCCATAAGGGAAGGAGGCGAGCCGGCGTTCCTGACTAATCCTTAGTATGGTCGTCGCATTCGTCGTCTAATGATTGGATGGCATCGAACAAAGAGTCGTATCAGAGCCAGGTCCGATGATGTGAATAGGAACGTGAAGCACTTATTGACACGCGCAAAAAACCGATGAATGAAAAGAGGTCCTGATGATAAAGATGCGTCCTCAGCGCACTTTCAGGGACCAGCGTCGCTGACATGTCTTTTGTGCGGTCGTCGCAGTCGTCGTAGTCGTCAAATGTGTGGATGGCAGCGAACAAGGAGACGTTGCAGAGTCAGGCCCGATGATGTGACAGGGAAAGTGAAACACCTATTGATGGATGCGAGAAAACCATGAACGAAAAGAGGCCTGCGCATGATGCACAGAGCTTCTATAGCAACAGATACCTGCGGTAGCGCAGGTTTTTGTTTGCCTTTGAGCTAAAACGGGGCGAGTCAAGGGGCCTGTCTTCGGGACCTCTTCCCGTCGCTCGAAAGTCAAGAAGTCAAGAGCTTCGGTTGAATCACCGTAAAGTCAGGCTTGTCTCGATACTGCGATTTTCTGCATTTGCCGATGTAATCTTGCACAGACTCAGCGGCTTGACAACGACATGTGACATGCAAGCTGACAACTGCATTGATGGCCAGCAGCTGGAGTAACTCTCCCCCAGATGCACCATCTTGCAGGTATGTTTGCACTGCAATCACAGAAGTGTCTTCGTTGGATGGAGACTTCTGCGATGCACTCCATCCCCCTGCTTCACTTTGCTTGACCAATTCACAATCAATATACTTAGACCTTTGGCAAAGACACTCTACACTCTACACACACACACCCAAACACACACGCACACACACGGATTACACACACACACACGAATGCTTTCATTTCCAGGGAAAGGGTCCCATGGCACGTGGGGATCCGTCCTCGCAGAGAGGAGTGGGTGTATGCATCTTCAAATTGTGTTGTAGATTATGTGGGGAAGCTCTGGAGGGATTCGAATCACCTAGTCTAAACCGTGTGACGCAATCAAGATCTGTAATCCCGGACATTGCATCTCCTAAAAGGGCATAGCCCCAACGACAAAACTGGCGTTCAAGAGCCGCGTAGGCAGACCCACCATCGTCAGCTTAACGAACTGACGCCGTGAGCTGCATCTGCCTGACCAAACAAGGCCGGCAGCATGCCGCGCATCGTCTGCGACGGCACCTACGCACAAGAAAGCAAGACAGTCCACAGGCCGAACCACCGGCATTAGCCTGCAATATCACTCTTTCTACGCCAACGGATACTTTGCGAAGCAAACCTGAATAATTCGTTACTGCCTTGGAAACATCTTGATAACACAGTGAGACATGGAGCTCATTTTTGCTTGCCTTATCGCAGAAGCGACGCAATGTTCGCCCATCTGACCTTTCGGCAACAGAAGGTCTCTGCATGGTCAAGGTTTACTTATTTCTTGTCGCCCCTTTCTTGGCTGTGCGCCGCAGCAGCAGCGAAATTGTCTTCCGGGGATGCAGTAGTGTGGCCCCGGTGACCTCGGCACAGCTCCGCTGCTGTCCGCGGGGCTCGGTCACTCCCCCCACAGGATGCCCGCACTGAGCCGAGTACCAGTTCGGGATGGCATCGCAACAAGAGCGGCAGCGCACAGCAGCCACAATCCATGCCAGAGGACTCTTCTTTGCAAGTGATCTGAAGAAAGGGAGGCTCTTGACTCGTCTTCTGGTTGTTGTCAAATCGCCAAAGGGCGAAGACTTGCTTGCTGGAGGTTTGGACTTCACTGCTGGGGGAAAGTTCTGGGCATGTCTCGCCACAGCCATTGAAGCAAGGCCTTCACGTGAGTTCTACGCAGTTGCTACTACTCAGAATGTCCGGTGCCATTCCCCGTAAGGAGATCACATGGGATGATCCAACCGTTTAGCAATGAGTCTCTGAGTGCAAAAGCTCAATACATGCACCGATTCATCATGAAACTGTCATGAACATGACGGCCAGCTGGCACAAAAATCGGAGCGTGACAGGCAGAGCGGTTGCTAGGCCAGCTTTAGCGACATCTGTCGTTGCAAGAAGCGCCATGATGGAGCTACCAACAAGGGCCCTGCAGGAAATACCGCTGGCCCGCCGCGAAGCCTGCAGCGGCTGCTGCAGCCCGCATGGCAGCTGTAGCCTGCAGCAGCAGCAGCAGCTCCCGGACTGTGCAATCAGCATTGACATCAGCATAAGACTACGCAGTCTTCCACTTCAGAACCGCAGCTGTGGTTTGCCTTCTTCTCATTGCGACAGGCAAAGATTACTGATGCTCCAGCACGCAGGACAGCCTCAGCGAGCACCGCCAAGAAGATGCACGAAACTGTGGAGATCAAGAAAGTTCTTGCAATGGCTCAGTACCTGCGCCTAGTTGGGGCCTCGGCAACGCTGGTTTCGTAGCCAAGGCCGCTGTTTGCCCCTCAGTCACGAACAGTGCAGCGAGTAGATGGCAGCTTCACACAGCGCAACTTGCTGTTGATGATGCACATGGAGCAGCACTCTTTCGGAACAAGACAACAACGAAAAGGGTAACAAAGGATCGAGCCCGTCACCAAGAAAACCTCGGTGACAGCCCATCGGCTTTGTAATTGCCAGATGCTATGCTACGCACCTGCGCCTCCAAGTTCCCGGCACGATCTCGCAAGCTGCCAGAAGGCGGCACGTACCGAGGCCCACGAACCAGCGCCACGTAAGCCTTGTTGCGAAAGTTTCGTGACTCTCCCATACAAAAGGACCTGCGTAGGGTTTTCGAGTGCCCAGGCGCGCGAGGAAGCGCGATCCAACAGTATATAGACCGATATGATACTACTGATATAGATAGATGGATAGATAGATAGATAGATAGATAGATAGACCGCTAGATAGATTAGATAGATAGACCGACCCACCGAGAGGCAGATAGACACGCAGAGACAGATATGACAGACAGACAGACAGACAGACAGACAGACAGACAGACAGACAGACAGGCAGACAGGCAGACAGGCAGACAGGCAGACAGGCAGACAGAGAGAGCG